GATTGATTTATTGCATTACTTGACATGTGTAACGTCTTCTGCTTTAAAGAGTATAACTCAACAGCAACATGTGATGCTTTGTTCTGTTTTTGATCACAAATTCCTCAGAGTACAGCTAAGGGTTATGTCTTGACCCGTCGTGTGCAAATGTAAGTAAATGATTCAGCGCTCGGTTTGCTCTGACCGTCCGTCATCGCGACATCAAACCTATGGGACTGAAAGCAGGTTAACCTTTACATTAGTCAGCGTTTTTCAGAGCTGCTGCTGCTGTGTCACTTGGTGAGGGAATCTGTCTTGATCCACTCAGTCTTGGTCCAAACCAGGTCACCTTCAAGACAATGACAGCTAATCTGGATTAGAAAAGAATTCGTAAAAGTCCATCATTCAAGACGTCTGCCACGGTTTGGTGAAAATTTTTAAGAGTTAAGTCGAAACCGGACGAGGTAAAGTACCCAAATTACTCGAGCAAGAGAAGCACGACTTCAACATATTTTTATTCAAGGAAAAGTAAAAGGTTGCCGTCCAAGAAGTTACTCAAGTAAGAGTAACAAAGTATTTGGTCAAAAGTCTACTGATTATCATTTAATATTTAAAAATTATACTGTTAAAAGGACCAAAGCATATAGTTAAAAGGAAATTTTGGTATCTTAAGGATGAAAAAGACAGTAATTCATATAAGTAACAAAAAATAACAATCAGGCCAAAGAACATTTTTCCAAATTCTTTTAATAAGAAAAGACACTTCAACAAAAACTGAAGGTGTGTGTTTGTGTCTGGTGAATGTTTGGTATATTTTTCATTCAGTGGGTAGAAAATCCAGAATTTTTACTCAAGAGTAGAAATTATTCACAATCAAATTACTCAGGTAAAAGTAGAAGGTCAAGAATAATTTTCAAAAAAAGTTACTGAAGTATAAATGTAATTGAGAAAATGTAACTAGTTACTACTACACAGGTCAAAATAAATGTCTTTTAACTTCAGTTTACGTAATAAAAGATTTTATTGCTTAGATATTTCTGCCGGTTCTCCCAGGTGTTGAACCAGACAACACCACTTGGGCCCAATTCATGTAGTGCATGTGAAAACAGTTGATTTGGTTTAGCTGCTATTTAATAAACCCTAAAACTAAATGAGGGTGTTCGTCGTTTTGACCGTATTTTCCCAGCAACGTGACGATATCAAGATTTTCTTCAGGAGTTCTGATCGCCGTCTAAAATTCAGCAGATTATGGCGGTACCGTCTTCCAACTCAGTGACTGTTTCATTTGAGTTTGTGCAATTATTTTTAAATGGGGTTTACAGCAGGTGGCTAAGCACACGTCCCTGAGGATCTCCGCTGATGAGACGCAGTTTTGATGACCCAAACCTGCAGAATGACAGCTTTGGGTTGAGTTATAGTGTTCTTAATGTGCAGTTTATGTAAAAATACTGAGCTATTATTTTATATGGTTGTCTTGCGTTTTATTGTGGGAAATGTCTGCAGCAGGTTTTAAAAAAACAACTTTGTTAGGGTTTTATGGGCACATTGGGGGGAGCAGAACAATTACCCCAACAGCAGGGGCTCTTATAATCCACTACCCGGCATGATTAGGTAAACTTGTTGTTCCTGTAGGGTTTGATGGTGCCTGACTAGTTCCCAACTGTTTACAGTTTAAGATCTGCCATCAATTTTTCTTCCCAGCACGCCAAATTAATTAGAAACAAAACAAAACACAATCTTCTAATTTGGGAGTTGTTTGGAGTTATGGGTTCGTTAGACCCTGCCAGGTCTCCCGGCTGCTCGGTGATTTGAAAGCAAACAGTATTTCTCAGATAAAAGTGCACTGTCAGCCTACGTGTTTTCACATTTTTCACATTTTTTGTAATGGTTACAAAAAATGTGAAAAATGGTTACAAAACATCCAACAGGCAATTTTGCCAACATCAGTCATCCGTGACCTTACGCTCTTCAAAAAAAAAAAAAAAAGGGGGCTCGTTGGGAGACAAAGCAGACATCTGGTCCACAAATGTCCAATTGCATGTAAGGTTGAATTCAGGAGGAAATAAAACACAATTATTAGATACCACAACAAACAGTTGCACTAAATCTGCTGCCGTATTAAATAGTCTTTACTGTGATTTTTAGTTTATGTGTTAGGAAGACAAAGTAATGCAGGAAAGAACTTTTGATTGGACTCGAGATCAGAAAGAATCAACCTCAAATGATCCCAATAAATGGGGTAAAAATAACATTTTACTAAAGAGAGAAAAATATCAGGAGACAGAAGGAACGTTTGACACATGCATGCTTTAAAGAAAACAAAAACAAACTTATCGCTCTGCATGAGAACCAGCCCGGATGAGATCGCTCAAAAAGCGGACAGGAACTCGACTGTTGTGGTGAAACTTCCTGCAGGACAGAAGTGGAGGAAAAGAAGGAAGGAAGGCTCTCGGCCAGGACGATAATCTCTTTCTTTTTCGCAGAGTTTGGAGGAGGTCTGCCTGTGTTGCGAGTCCATTTGTTAGCTGCCAGATGTTGGAACATTGCGTGTGATCACGGGTCTCTGGTGGTGCTCACGCCTCTGCCTGCTCACACACACACACACCTGCATGCACGGTCTCACTTCCTGCAGCTCCACCTGCACATCTGCTCCTCTGCGGTCCCACCGTGCCTCCCCGCCTCGCTCCAGCCAGGTGTCCAACCTCCAAACTGATCTTCCTTCGGTTTGTGAGAGCCTTCAGCGTGGAGCTAACCAGCATACTGCTTAGGTCGCAGCTCTCACCCGTTTTCTGACCCCCTCCCTCACTAATTTGTTCCTTGTTTGACGGATCCATTAAGAGGTTAGAGCAAGTTTCCAGAACCCTTAGAAAAAGACATGTCACCAGTTGTTTGTTTAGCGTTCAGCAGCTTGAATGAGAAATCTAATATTTGTCGCATTTTAATTTTCCTTGTTTCTGTTTGATATGTTTTGTCGTAATTTTGACATTTCCAAATCCTCTGCTGTAGTTTCCTGGTCAAACTACATCAACTCTGAAGGGACAAAACAAATTGCATTGCTTGAAACTTGCAAGTGTTCAAGATGTCATTCGAGTCTAAATACAGAGAAATTAAGAACAAATACGATTAACGTAACAAGGCTGGACAAATCCATAGGTGTGTCCAATGATCACGGTTTAACCTTTGGTGTTTTCTCAGAAATAATGTAGTTTGCATGTGAAAAATGGTTACAAAACATCAAACAGGCAAATAAATATTTTTATTTATATATAGCTCTCTAAAATTAGACACATGAATTTTTATTTCAAACATGATGGCAGCATAAAATGAACCAGGAATGTAAAAGACACATATTTTGCACCATAATAATCTTAACTAATGAACTCCTGTCCCATAAACTCATACCATGTTTTCATATGGATCCTCGTTATTAAAAGGGAAGAGAAAGATTAAATTATCTTTTAAAAAACACTTTGAATTTCAAAACAAGAATCAAATGAATAAAATCTGACTGTAATTAACCCTTTCATGCATGAATTATGATCCTTTGTGTCTGAATTTTTGTCCAAATTTGTTTTCATTTTCTTTACAGTGGAAAACATTTTTTGTAAAAAGTTTTTATTTTTTTTAGGTGATCAATTGTAATTTTCTCCAAAATCAAAGATATTTGAGAAACACATCAGTAGTATTGTTCTCTAGCGGTCGTCTGATGTCATAATATTGTTTTTGCCTACAAGAGTCGTCAACAGCAGAAAGGCGGGCCGGGTCGGTTGACAGGCTGTTTTCTCTGGCGGCCATATTGGATTTAATAAAAATAATTTCTTGCATTTACAGCTGATGGCCAGTAGTTGATGGTGTATTTTATGATGCGTTATGATGCACAAATCTACAAGAAGCACAATAAAATGGCTTTTAGGCTCTTATGACTAAAATTTCAGCTTCTTATCAGGTTACTCTTAAGAACAAACTTGGAAAAACAGGTCAATCGCTTTGCTCAGGTTGACTTGTGGTAGGAAGAATCTGAAATTTAACATATTTCCAATTGGATATCAAGAGTAGCAGTCAAGGAAAATCTGCTTTCACAATCACATTTGGTTAAATCAATGAACTAGTCTATACTTTTAACTTGCTAACAGATAGCATGACTCCATCTGATTCATTTAAAAGAAAGCTAAATTAATTACAAAATAATACTTGAAGCATATTCAATAAAATTGAATGACTGTGTGTAGTTTGGTATATTATTAAGCTGATTTCATAAAATTGCATTTACTTATTTTTGTAAAAAATACTCTCAACTTAAAATTAATAAGTAGAATTAAACTATATCGTATCAGTAGGTCAATAATGTTGACCAACATATTTTACCCAATGGAAACTCCACACCAATAATCAATAGTTTTCACTTAAAGTTGCAGATCTATCTATCTGTTCAATTATATTGTTTCTTTGTTCCCATGTTTTCTTTAAGTTGTAAGTTGTCACATTTACTGAGTGTTGGTGAGGATTTTCTGTAATACGTGAGATCCAACAATATAAATCCAACCTTTCTGGAAACTTCATGGAATTCTAATATGTCTAAAAGCAACATATCCTGGAAATAACTGAATGTTAGACAGATTACTTTGTTTGGCTGCATTTTATCACTGACCATCCTGCATTTATTTCACTTGGCTTCCCTCTGACGTTACTACTTTCTACAGTTTGTTAGCACTGATGTGTAATTCATCCACTGAGCTCTTTCCTCCCTCCATCGCTGCTTTGTTCGCATAAATGTTTGCGTTTTTAAACCTGCCAAATCACGGTGGCTTCAGACCTGCCGCTCTGGTCTCGTTCAGCGAAACAAACATCACGGACCACAAGACATGAAAGTCCTGAAAGGTTTCAGCTCATCCGCCAAAACAAATACTCCCTTTCAGTACAACTAGTAAAAGCAACAGTGGACTTGAAATGGTGTTATTCTTGTCGAGCTGCGTCCTGACTGCGTGTGTGTTGTGGGTGTGTGTGTGTGTGTGTGTGTGCAGGCCACACCGTACTTTGTGGGACTGATGCTGCTGGAGCTGGTGGTGGGTGCGCTGATGACAGGAAGCCCTGTAGTTACGCTGAGTGACGGTCTCACCTCCCTTTCTGCTGGGATGATCTCCAGACTCCCGCTGTAAGTCTGCTGCACCCATCGAGACGTAAATATGTGTCACAAAGTGTCACAAACTCAGGCAGAGGATCCGAGTTGTACTTCCCCAAGAATAACACTTATTCAACATGTTTTTACTCAAGTAAATAAAAAGTATTTGGTAAAAAGCACCAAATAACATCAATAATGTAATATTTAAAAATTACATCATTAGGTGGACCAAAATGCAAAGTTAAGAGGAACTTTTGTTATTTTAAGGACAGAACTGACAATAACTCATTTAAGTAACAAAAATACCAAAATCAGTTAAAATATTTTTTTTTCCAAATCAGTTTCTTTCAATAAAAATCAAATGAGAATTTAACAAAAACTGCAGGTCTGTGTCTGGTTTGTTGTTCAGTGGGTAGAAAATCCAGAAGTTTTACTCAAGTAAAAGTAGAAAGTACAGCGTAGTATAAATACTCCTGCAAGTATTTTATTTTTCAAAAAATGTACTCAAGTAAATGTAACTAGTTGCCACTAAGCCTGTCATGGTGGCACATTTTGCTGGATGATCAATAGTCCCAGAACTTATTGGCATAAACAATAATGTTGCTGTTTTGAGAACATTTATTTTGGTGATAATGGCATAAAAATGCAAGAACATATTCTCACCTCTAATGAACATTTAACACTGGAACTGGAAGACTTTTTAAATATCCAAAATAAATACAACACCAGACTGATGACTTTTATCATTCAGGTTTTGGTGAAAAGCGAGAAGAAAGAGGAAAACAATAAATCAAGCAAATGAAATTTGAGTGTCTTTTAATTTATCATGTGATTAATTGATTTATTGTGACGGGCCTAGAGGACAGAAGAAATGGGAAGGTTAAAGCAGCTGATCCTAATTTATTTTAACTTTTATGTTTTGAAAGAAAAACATCCAATTCTTGTGCATCAGAATATATTGTATTGTTGATCAAAGTAAACCAAAGATATGGCTACTGGCAAAATAAAAAATAATCAGGAAGCAGCAATTTACTTTATGCAAATTTGTAATTAAAATGAAACAAGTCTGAATAAATACTTGCTGGCAGAAAAATGTGGCTCTAATCCGATTATTTAACGACCCTTTTCTGATCAATAACAACAAAAAACAATTCCATTCATTTCTTTTCCATATGTGGTAATAAGTCAGATACGTTTTCAGAACCTTTTCACAGATTCTCTACTGAATTTAGAGCTGGACTTTGACTGGACCATTGCAGCATCTGTCTCTGCAGTCCTTTGTGGCAGCAGGTCGTTTTGTTATTTTATGTAGATCCATCTGCCTGTAAACACCAAGAACTAGCACATACCCCACTGTCTCACCGTTGCCCCTCCAGTTCCTCATTGTGGAAAAACAAAAACTGCCATTTTGCTGATGCAGAGCTTTGACCGTCTCATCCTGCAGGCTGGCGATGAGAGGCTGTGAGCTGTCGGCTTACCTGTATGTGTGGGATCACTTCCGCCTGCTGGAGCTGCCCTGGGACTCTGCATGGACCTGGTGGCTCACCTTCCTCGGAGTGGACTTCTGCTACTACTGGGTCCATCGCTTCGCTCACGGTACCGATGAAAACCTTACACTGATGCCCACAAACAGCAGAAATCCAGGCTCACTAAAGGGACTTTTATTCCAGTGGAGCCCTAGCAACTGTTTTTGTTTCTAATGGAAGAAATTTGTCTTAAAAGAAGGGAAATGGCTAAGCATCAGCTTGCATAAAAATATAACAGACTTTCAGAAGTAAACTTAAAAAAAATTACAAAATTTCCATCCTACTGTCTCCACTGTTTAAAATACTTTTAAGGAGATTAAAGAAACATTTTTGAATTGATGGTTTTCTCAATGCAACAAGGACAAACAATGCTTTAAAATAAAGTCAATAAATGCATAGAACTAGCACAAATGATTAAATAGACATAAAATTTTGAGCAAAAGAAGCGAAATACACAAATATTCACTTCATGTTTGCTGGCGTTCGTTTTATCCTTTTCCTTAATGGCTGCTGGAAAAGACGTGTTTTGATGTTGACTTACCATTTGGAAACCGTTTGCTGAAGGTCTCCGGGGTCAAAGATGTACAACTGTACAAATTTGCATCAGAGTTAGGAGGCGTGGCCAGAAACAGCTTATTTGCATCAAAGGAAGCTTATTGGGTTCCTTTCAGGCATAAATGGGTTGTGACCTTCTTTTTCACCTTTAATCAAAAATGAGAGCCTTTAATGCTGAATCCAAACTTTCTGGAAATGGTTGGATTTCCAACCATTTCGATGAAATGGTTGGAAATTTTATTGATTTCATGAAATCAATGAAATCAAGCTTCATTGATTTCCGCAGCGCTTCATTGTGTAGCAAAACGACTATCTTTGAGTTTCTTGTTGCTTTCACAAAGTCCAAACAAAGGCTACAAAGTCAGCGGATGATAAATGGCCTAAAAATGTTGATTTAGTTGCCTTCCCTGCAGGGAGGAGCGGTGAACATGGCAGTCACTTGGTGTTTTCCTGGACACTGTAGAGGAAGCAATTATTTTTGAGTTACATCCAGCTGCTTTAGTGCTGTCCAGATGTAAGAGGCCTCAGCCTCCTGAGAGCTGCGGTCTCAACCCAAGGCTGCCACAGCAACAGGCTGCATATAGTAATGTCTCTGAATCTCCACCGTCCTGCAGCATCTTTTTTAGAAAGAACACAAGCAGAAAATATGGTCACGGCTCTGGCTTTTTTTCTCCTTTACAAGGATTTCCTCCGTGTTTGCTTAGTGATGCACATGGCAGATGTTCAGCTGCCACTCAGCCGGCTGGATGAGAGGTAGGTATTTGTGGCCTCTGGTGATGTTTATTTGTGTCAGTGACACATCGGCCTTCATAGTTTTGGATTAAAGTCTGCCGCCGCTGTGTTGATATTAGACTCTGGCTAAACAGAAGCCTTCACAATGTTTCCCACTGCTGGCCGGAGAGCGTTTTTTGAAGTGAGGGAGAACATACCGTTGGAATTACGGCCGTCATTCTTAATTGCACTTTGATGTCATGAAGCACGTTGGACATTAAAATTGTCCTGGTGGCGATACAACTGCATGTGTTTACAATCCCAAAACCTAAAGATCGTCTTGCAGGAAATGTGATTGGATGTTGGCGAGCTCTTCATCGGTTATTTATGAAGGTGCAAGTCTCCACAAACAAGTTGTTCTACACAGTCAATAATAATAATAAGAGGCAGGGAATGGATGTTAAATCATAAAGTTAGATTCTAGTGCCGACTTCTCATTTGATGATTAATAACATGCTGATTGTCTCTATTATACACACATGGTTTATTGTCAAACTATAAATGAAGTATTGTCTTCATAAGACAGATTAACAGATTAAATCAGTAATTTTTTTTCTAGTAATGATGAAAAGTGCTCTGAAGTGTCCTATCATTAGTATTTATTTATGCATCATTATTTCCAATCTTTTGTCAATGTGAAATTTATTTAAATAAGAACTTTAAAAACAGGTGCAAAACTGCACTGAAGTGCTGCACAAGGATGATAATAGAATAAATTGAGAAAAAATGCTTTGACCTGCTGAGGGACTGAATACAATGTCATGCTTTCTAGCCATCCTGCTTTGAGCAGCTAGTATTAATTTAGAGGCGACGTCACACTGTGTGTGTTAAAAAAATCTGATACAGAAGAGTTTTACCCAACTTTTTAGAATAAAATTAAAATGTTTATGCAGGTGACAAATTTAGCATGTTGTATGTGTTTATTCCTTAGACACCCATGAAAACCTGCATGTTTTTATAACATATTTATACACAGATATTTAATACCACTTTCAGAAATATTGAGAAAACCTTTTGAAGATGTCCTGCTCTCTTCAAACCTCCGACATTTAGTTTGTTCTCCTGACTGAAGTCACTCACTGATGAAGTGAGAATTTTTTTCCAATCAAATCAATCAATCAATCAATCAAATTCTTTTTGTGTAGCACACCTCAGCAGCACGGCATTTCAAAGTGCTTTACTCTACAAGGTCATAAAACAGACAGTCAACAATTAAAAATAGTTCAATGTTTCACTGATTGTTTCTCAAAAGCTTCTCTAAACAGCTGAGATTTAAAGGACCTCAGTGTTTCGGCAGTTTTGCAGTTTTCTGGAAGTTTGCTCCAGACTTGTGGTGCTTAGAAGCCGAATGCTGCTTCTCCGTGTTTGGTTCTGGTTCTGTGGATGCGGAGCAGAACCAGAACCAGAAGACCAAAGAGGTCTGGAAAGTTGCTATGAGAACAGCAGATCTTTAACGTTTTGTGGTGCCGAACCATTCAGTGATTTATAAACTATCAGCAGGATTTTAAAGTCTATTCTCTGAGCTACAGGGAGCCGGTGTAGGGACTTTAGAACTGGTGTGATGTCCTCTAGCTTCCTGGTTTCAGTCAGAACAGCAGCAGCAGCGTTCTGGACCAGCTGGAGGATTGATTGATTTATTTTGTCGCCACTGTTGCAGGAATCAATGCAACTAAAAATTGGTAAAGAATCCCTCAAACGTCTCACAGAGGAAAGTGAAGAGTGGGTGAGCTTTGTTCAGACTGATGTCATAAATGAATGTAAGAACAACTAAAGTTATCTCAACTATTAGAGAACCATTACTTATTGTGTAACAATGGATGTGTGATATTGTGTGTTTGAATAAGGCTGAGAGTTTTTTGAGGTGGTCACAAGTATTCATGGATTTTAGCAATTGTTGGGGTCCACTGTAAATTAATTTTTGGACAATATGCTGCGACATTACAGAGGTATTTCAGTGGCTATCATTCATGAAAACCGGAATTCTCCTTGCATCGTCACATGCCAGTTTTCATGTATTTATTGTAGTAATTTTATTTTTGAATTGTAAAATCCATTTTCTTGGATGTCTCAGAAGTGTGAAAGAATCGCACTGTTCTTTTGTCGTTTTTCCCGCCAGCTAAGGATGTTTTTCTGGAACCCTTTGAGGTCACAAAGTCATAAGTTCCTGAGCAGCTGCAGTTTCTCGGGATATAAACGCTTTTTCCTCTTGTTACCAGAAGGAAGCTGCTTTCTGCGACCGCAGAGGAGCGGGCTGCCGCCTCCGTCCTCGTGCCTCTCACTCTGGTCAGCTGAGGTTGTCTCAGTCAACAGATCTGACCTCCTTCTCCTTCCAAAGGAAGCTCTGATCAGAATACCCCAAAGTCAGAGATGCCCATTAATGCTCAGAGCTGCCTTCTGACTGCTGGATAATCGTACTTTATGAGCTGCGTCTTGCTTTACTACTTTTACTTCTTGGAAGAACTTTTCTGTAGTTCAAAACAGAAGAAAAGTTGCATCTTTAATCCTATTACGTCGAGGCATAAGAGCAATAAATCTTCCATTTGAATAACGAAGGAAAAATTACAATACATACGCTCAAAATGAGGCAAAGTTACACCCTGTGCTCAGGGGCTGGGGGGTAAAAAAAATACATTTTCTCAGTGTAAAATATAATTGTGAGTTTGAGCAGTTTTATGGTTGATTTCATAGTTTTCCTCCCATGACCTCAACATAAAAAGGATCGCTCAGAGATAATTAAGTGGAAGGAATTTGGCAGTCATGTGCGCTGATGCCATCTATGTGCAGGAGACATTACTGTTGGGGATTTCTGCTGCCAGACACTGATTCTGGAGATAGCAGCAGATTGAAACAGAAAACTGAAACCACCTAATCAGCAAGCCCTTTTCAGATTTAGAACTTAATGAAATTCAGGTTTCTACATTCATACACACACGCACACACTCACTAAAATAATAATAATAATACTAAAAGCCTGTGACCAGACGTTTTTTATGGGCCTTTCTTTGCATTTGGCTGCAGTCGGCGTAGACAAACAGCATTTGTGGTTAAAGCTGAGGCAAATCTGGAACTTCAAACATTTGAATGACCTTTGTGCACACAGTGCCTTTCCAGTTTTGCTCCTATTATCAATATTTGCACGAACCCATGTCATCAGTGCGCGTCCCAGGAACAAATACTTAGCTACATTACTTATATATGAAGTTATATTCGCTTTTTCTCACTTGTTTTAATTTTAACAGCCATGAAATCCAGTTTACCTGATGTTTTTTTTTTTTTTTTTTTCCCACCATCGATAAAAGTTTGTTTTCTTGTCTTTTCTTTCCTGAAGCTTTGGGTGCTTGTTTCGGATGCGGCTGTGTTGTTGACAGGCCTGTTGATTCTGTTTATCCTAAACCCGTATCGCTAGCGCCACTAATAGCAGCTCTGCGCTCGGCCTGCATCTTGGTGCAGGCGTGCCGGCCAGGTTGAAGCCATTAATCAGCCAGTCAGCTGTCTGCGCTCTGATTATATGTGAGGTAATGGAGTTACGCTGCAGCCGTCTCGCCGCACTAACGGTCGCCGCTGTTACGCTTATAGCACAGAAACATCAGAGTATCACTTATAGACATGAAATGGTATCATTACCTACTCAAAATGATGTAATTTTAGAGAAAAGAAAAGGGCTTGAATTGGTAAAAGAAAAAAGGGGTTTGTTTTTCTTCTCCCGCTTCTGAAGGGTCTCTTGATGAAAGCCGGTTATTACAG